AAAAGTTAAAAGGATGGAAATAATATGCCATGCTAACAAAAGAAAGCTGGCATAGCTCTATTAATATCAGACAAAGTAGATTTCAGAGGAGGATGTTACCAGGAATGAAGATATCATTTCATGGTGAAAAGAAGTAAATTAATCAAAAGGACAGAACAATCCTAAATGTGTATGCCCCTAATAACAGAGTTTCAAAATTCATGAAGGAAAAACTGATAGAACTACAAGGTGAAATAGACAAATCCATAATTAGAGTCAGAGATTTAAATACCCCTCTCTTAATAATTGATATAACAAGTAGGAAGAGCAGGAAGGATGAAGTAGACTTGGATAAAACTATCGATCAACTTGATCTAAATGACCTGTATCTGCAGGGGGTAAATGGGAACTCTCTGTACTTTCTGCACAATTTTTCTGTAAACCTAAAATTGCTTTAAAAAATAAAGGCTATTCCCGTGGACTCTCTGTTAACCCAGACTTAAACCATTCCTGAAGCCAACTCTTCAGACAAACATTAGACTGGACTATGGAACATAAAATGATACTCGTGAAGAGTGTGCTTCTTAAGACCAGACTAGGTCTGACTGAGGCTGGAGGAACCCCGGAAAGCATGGCCCCTGGATTCTCTATCAGCCCAGAACTAAAACAATTTCCAAGGCCAACTCTTCAGACAGGGATTGGACTGGACTGTGGGACATAAAGTGATATTCGTGAGGAGTGTGCCTCTTAGCTCAAGTAGATACAAGAGACTAAATGGGCAGCTTCTGTCCAGAGGTGAGATGGGAAGGCAGAGAGGGTTAGGAGCTGGTTGAATGGACATGGGGAATCAGGGGTGGAAAGGAGGAGTGTGCTGTCACAGTATGGGGGAGCAATTAGGGTCACATAACAATATGTGTATAAATTTTTGTATGGAAAAAAAAAAAAAAGAGTGTGCTTCTTAGTTCAAGCAGATACACGAGACTAAATGGGAAGCTCCTGTCTGGAGGTGAGATGAGAAGGCAGAAAGGGATAGGAGCTGGCTGAATGGACACAGGAAACCCGGGGTGGAAAGGGGGAGTGTGCTGTCACATTGTAGGGATTGCAACTAGGCTCACATAACAATATGTGTATAAATTTTGGTATGAGAAATTAACTTGGGCTGTAAATTTTCACCTAAAGCACAATAAATTAAAAAAAAAAAGAAATAGTAAATTGCTGAGAAAAGATAAATAAAGGCTATTAAAAATTCATATGCAAATGCAAAGGACCTAGAATAGCCAAAACAACTTTGGGGGAGGGGGAGGGGGAGGGAAAGAACAGCTGGAGGGTTAACACTGCTTGATTTCAAGAATTTACTGTGAAGCTGTATTAATTAAAACAGCATGGTACTGGCATAATGATATACAACTAGATCAATGGACCTGAATAGAGAGTCCAGAAATAAACCCTCTCATATATAGACAATTGATTTTTTTACAAAGGTGTAAAGGCAGTGCAGTAGAGAAAAAAAAGATAGTCTTTTCCACAAATAGTGCTGGAACAATTGGCTATCCATAAGCAAAAAGAAAAAGAACTTGAATCCATGCCTTGAATTTTATACAAAAGTTAACTGAAAATGGATCATAGCCCTAAATGTAAAACCTAAAACCATAAAATATCCAGAAGAAAACATAGGAGAAAATCTTTGCTAGCTTGTATCTTTGCTAGCTTGGTAACATTTTCTTAGAAACAACACCAAAAGCTCAATCCATAAAAGATCAAACTGATAAATTAGACTCATCAAAAATTTAAAACTCATTCTTCAAAAGACAGTTTACGAGAACAAAAAGAAAAGTCACAGACTGGGAGAAAATCTTTGCAAAGCTTGTATCTGATAAAAGACTTGTATTCAGAATACATGAAGAACTCTCGAAGCTCGATAATAATAAAACAAACAACCTAATTTTAAAAATGAACAAAATATTTGAACAGACACTTCACCAAAGAAGGTATCTAGATAACAAACAAGCACATGAAAAGATGCTCAACATTATTTATTACCAGGGAAATGCAAATTAAAGTCACAATGTGATACCATAACTGTCATGGATTCAATTGTGTCCCCCCAAAATATCTGTCAACTTGGCTGGGTCATGATTCCTAGTATTGTGTAATTGTGTACCATTTTGTAATCTGATGTGAATTCCTTATGTGTTGTAAATTCCATCACTATGATCTGATAAGATGGATTAGCAGCAGTTATACTGATGAGGTTTACAAGATTGGATAGTGTCTTAACCTAATCTCTTTTGAGATATAAAAGAGAGAAGCAAGCAGAGACACATGGGAACCTCACACCACCAAGAAAGCAGTGCCGGGAGCAGAGTGTGTCCTTTGGACCTTGAGGCTTCTGCACTGAGATGCTCCCAGACCAAGGGAAGACTGATGCATCACAAGGACCTTTCTCCAGAGCAGACAGAGAAAGCCTTCTCCTGGAGTTGATGCCCTGAATTTGGACTTGTAGCCTACTGGACTGTGAGAATAAATTTCTCTTTGCTAAAGCCATCCACTTGTGGTATTTCTGTTATAGCAGCACTAGATGACTAAGACAATGACACACCTATTCGAATGGCTAAATTTAAAAAGATTGATCATACCAACTGTTGGCAAGGAACCGGAACTCTTATACATCCTTGATGGGAATGTAAAATGGTACAACCACTTTGGAAAACAATTTGGCATGATGATGTCGTTGAAGATGTGAAGCTTTTCTATTCCTGGTTTTATTCTCTAGAGATGGTCTTACACATGCACACTGGTTTTATGTACAAGAATATTCATGGAAGCATTGCTCCCAAAAACAAACATGGAGGTAAAGCTAATGTCTGACAGAAGAATGGATAGTAAATAAAATACAACAGTGAAATGAATAATTCTCATTTACATCTATCCACATGAATGATTCTCACAAACATAATACTGAGCAAATAAATCAGGTTGCAAAAAAAAATACACACGTACATTCATTCCTTCAAAATTATATACTGAGCACCTGCTATGTGCCTGATACGACTCTATGCACTAAGGAATAGGTCAGCAAATAAGAGACAAAACCCTGCCTTCCTACTTCCTAGTATGGAGACCCAAACAAATAAAGAAACAGAGAAGAAACCTCTATTTCCAGCCCAGGTGTAGAGCTTCAGATAAGTGATTTCTGGACATAACATTTCACATCTCTCTTAACCTTGTAGTTTGCAAGGAAACAAGATCATAGGTCCAATTCCCTGACCTCTTTATACACAGCTGTGCTTTGCTTTGTGCCTATCAAAACACCGTTTCGTTTAAATTTCACCTGAACTCCACCCTTCCACCAAATCCTTATAACAAATCCTGTTCTGTTGGCGCCAGGTGCCAGGACTACACTGGTGTGCATTGAATCATAAACTTAATTTTGTCAAATTACTGGTTTGTCCCTGGTGATCTGAGGCTGATAGGTCTAGAACAAAACTAAGTGTGGTGTAAGCCCATTGTCATCAAGTTGATTTGGATTCGTGGTGACCCCATGTGTTACAGAGTAGAACTGCTCGATAGATTTTCATGGCTATAATCTTCACAGGGAACCCTGGTGGCTCTGTGGTTAGGTGTTCAGCTGCTAACCAAAAGGTCGGCAGTTCAAATCCACTAGCTGCTCCTTGGACACCCTATGGGGCAGTTCTACTCTGTCCTATAGGGTCGCTAGGAATTGGAATCCACCTGATGGCAACGGGTTTGGTTTTTTTGTTTAATCTTCATGGAAGCAGTTGCCAGGCCTCTCTTCTGTGGTACCACTGGGTGGATTCACATCACAAACCTTTAGGTTAGTAGTCAGGCACAAACTGTTTGCACCACCTAGGGACTTTTTGTACGGTGTAATAGATATAAAACCAAACCAGTTGCCTTTGAGTTGATTCTAACTCATGGAATGACTTATGGTGACTCCATGTGTGTCAGAATAAAACTGTGCTCCATAAGGTTTTTAATGGCTCATTCTTTGGAAGTAGGTCACCAGACCTTTCTTATTAGGTGTCTCTGGATATACTTGAACCTCCAAGCTTTAGCAGCCAACTGTTAACCTTTTGCACCAGTCATGCTTATAGGAATAATAAAAGCAGGGATGGGGGGTAAGTTTTGGGGAAGCGACAGTTTTCTATTAAATAGGCCTCCGGGAAGCTTTACTGAAAAAGTGACAGGCAAGCAAATATCTGATGGGAGGAGGGGAGACCAAAAACCCACTGCCGTCCAGTCTATTCCGATTCATAGTGACCCTATAGGACAGAGGACAACTGCCCCTACAGGCTTTCTACCACGTTTCTCCTGCCCGGCTGGTGGGTTTGAACGCAGAAGCAGCCCAGTTCTTAACCACTCCGCCACCAGGCCTCCCCATCTGATGGAAGCGGGGATTTAATTGGCGGGTTATCTGGGAGAAGAGCATTTCAGGAAGAGGGATCAGCCAATGCAAAGGCCCTGCGCTGGGCGTGTTCCAATCACATTCTCTTAGTGAGCCCTAACCTGGCAACCTCTTTAACTGGAAACCTCCCCTCCCCCATGGTTACTCCCTTGCTCTGCTTTGCTTTTCTTCATATAACTTATCACTTTTAAATATGTAATCCGTGTTTATTATTTTTGTTTCTTGCTTCCCGCGAGGGCATAATCTTCGTACCATCGCGCTCCCCAGTTTGGCCGAAACGCCTAGCACAGTGCCGAAAACACAGCAGGCACTCGACAGGCACGTGTGGAGGGAGGGACTGCACTGCCAGGAAGCCTGAGGCCTGGGAGAGAGAGACGCCAAAGGAAGGTGGGGGATACCAGGTCGCATAGAGCCGTGCCCTCAGAGTTGGTGGGAGCCGCGATTGCTGCAGCTGTTCGCAGCAGTCGGCCTGACTACCGTGATGCAGTGCACGTCATCGCGCGTGCGCCAGCGGCAGTCCAGCGCAAGACCCCTGACTAATTGGCCAACTCAGGCGCCCAAAGTAGAGTCGCGCATGCGCATTCCTCCCGCAAGGCACGGAGTGGTGTTCGTGCGTACCGCTTTTCAGTTTTTGTCGTTTCCTCCTACACTCAGCTCCTCGTCTAGGACGCTCGCCCTCGGAGCTCGGAATGTTCCCGGAGCTCAATAACCTTTTGAACACCACCCCTGACAGGGCAGAGCAGGTAAAATAATCGCGCGGTCGAGAAGGGGACGGGTCTAGCAGCGAGGAGTAAGGCTGCATTCCCGGATGCGGCGCATATGGTGCCGTAGAAAAGGCCCAACGACTGTGGGCACGGGGGAGCCGGGGAGTTGTAGTCTGGAGAGGGCCGTCTCGGGGCTTGAGCAGGAGGTTGCGGAAGGCGGGCTTCCTGATCTGTATTCTCAGAGACCGCGCGCGCCTTTAAAAGCCCCCAGGAAGCATGTCTGAATGTTCGACAAGTGGATTGGCTTACGTTCCACAGACGTGTACCGAGAAGCTCTGTACGCGCTCAATGGGTGGGGAAAGGAGTTTCTCGGGGAGGGTACGGCGCCCAGAGGAGATTGGGCGAACCGGCTCCCTAAGAAGTCGTCTGCCCTCCACCTTGAACCAGCTTCTTCACTGCCCCGAGTCTTCTCTAGGCAGGGAGTGCTCGGCAGGTGGCAGGGAACGCTGCTCCTATTCGTCTGCCTCATAGTCTCAAATAAACCAAACCCGTTACCGTCAAGTCGATGCCGACTCATAGCGACCCTATAGGACAGAGTAGAACTGCTCCATAGGGTTTTCAAGGAGCAGCTGGTGAATTCGAACTGTCTCTAATAGTGCTACTCAAAGCTGCTGGCATTGGGTTGCAGAAGTCCGCCTTTGGCACCACAGCCTTGTCACTATTTTCCTCACCCTCCTTCCTGCATTCTGGAGCATCTTGCTTCATTTTTATATGGTTCCCTATTTCTGTTTGTTCATGGCGAAGAATTGTCTAGAAATCTTTAACGTTTTAGGCCAGGGATTATCTCTCCCAGAATATACGTGGTTTATTTCATAACCTTGTCTTCATAACGAAATGGTAAGCTCCTCCAGGCAGCCCACAATACCTACCATGTGTGTAAAGCCTTTTTATGACTAAAGTGCTTGGCAAATTGTAGCTTCAAGTAGATCCTTGTGGATTTTAGTTGCCCAGCAGTTCTCTTGTATCAGACTCCAGGTGGCTGTGATTTTTTTGCCACTTAATCTAGACACCTCCAAAGTCTTCGCCCGAGGGGTAGAATGAGGAAATGGATTGAAGTGGGCAGGAGGCTTATACCAGTAAACGACAGTGCTGGGGATAACCCTCAAGATCTAATGTGGTCTTTCATATTTTATAAGTGAAAGAAACTAAAGTCCAGAAAAATGAAAGCACCTGGCTACGGTCACACAGTACAGAGGTGACATGTCTGATACCTCTTGATCGTTGCCTTCCATGCAGTTCACTGACAGCGAACTAGAGGTGGCTGGAGCGGGCAGCCAGGCATGGCAGAGAGTTTTTCCCAGGGCTCTCAGAGATTAGAGTTCTGTGCCTGAAGCAGTGCCCAGAGCCAGTGGGAGGAGAAATTTGTTGCTGGAGGTCTCTGTCAACAATCACTTCTTCCTCCCCTCTCCCCAGTCCCACAGGATAGAATTGAAGTCAAAATTAGAAATAGGGAAGATGTTGAATCAGATGACTTCTTTGAAGCTCCCTTCCAGTCCTGGCAGTCTGTTGTTTTCATTGAATCCTGATCATAAAAAATCCTTTTTCAGGTTCTAGTTCTTCTTGAGACTGGTCCCTGAGTTAGTTATGAAGGTGAGAAGTGAGGAAGAGAAGGGATTTTATTCTCTTTTGCTGTGGAAAAGTGGAGGCTGAGATATGCTTGTCCATTATGCTGATCACTTTAGTCATTGGTTTTTCCATAATTTTGACTTATTTTCTTCTTTTTTTTGGTAAACTTAGCATACCCGTTGCCATCGAGTCAGTTCAACTCCTGAGGACAGAATAGAACTGCCTCATAGGGTTTCCTAGGCTGTAATCTTTTTTTTTTTAGTATTTTATTTTTTAATTTTTTTTATTGTATTTTAGATGAAGGTGTACAGAGCAAACAAGTTTCTCATTAAACAATTAATACACATGTTGTTTTGTGACATTGGTTGCGAACCCCATGACATGTCAACACTCTCCTCTTCTTGACCTTGGGCTCCCCATTACCAGCTTTCCTGTCCCCTCCTGCCTTCTCATCCTTGCCCCTGGGCTGGTAAGCCCATTTAGTCTGATTTTGTTTTATGAGCCTGTCTAATCTTTGGCTGAAGGATGATCTTCAGGAGCAACTTCATTACTGAGCTGTAAGGTTGTCCGGGGGCCATACTCTCGGGGTTTCTCCAGTCTCTGTCAGAACCAGGAAGTCTGTTCTGTTTTTTTTTTTTTGTGTGTGTGTGAGTTAGAATTTTGTTCTACATTTTTCTCCAGCTCTGTCCAGGACCCTCTATTGTCATCCCTGTCAGAGCAGTCCATGGTGGTAATCGGGCACTATCTAGTTGTACTGGACTCAGTCTGGTGGAGGCCGTGGGAGTTGTGGCCCGTTAGTTCTTTCCTAGGCTGTAATCTTTGTGGAAGCAGACTGCCGCATCTTTCTTCCACAGAGTGGTGGTGGATTCGAACTGCCAACCTTTAGGTTAAAAGCTGAGTGCTTAACCACTCTGTTACCAGGGCTCCTTAAATTTAGCATAGATGTCACTAAAAAATATAATCTCCAGGTGTAGAAACTTAGGGGCAGACACAGTTGACTAGACTTTTTCACTCAGTTTCCCTCTTCCCTGAAAGTCTTCCCTGAAAGTCTAATTCACCTTTTTTTGTTCCTCTTAACTTTTAGGGGAAACTGACTCTACTCTGTGATGCCAAGACAGATGGCAGTTTCCTTGTGCACCACTTTCTTTCCTTCTACCTCAGAGGTATGGGACTCATTGATGCTTTAGAAACCTGGGGGGAGGGGGCATAAAAAAAGCTTCAGGAAGCAAAAGAAGGAGCATTTACTAGCCAGGGCTTTGGTGTTTGGGTTGCCATAGGGCTCTTTTATTAGGCAACAGATTACTGGACCATTTTGGTCTCTCCTCCAACCATGCCAGAGTAGTATGTGTTCACTATGTACACATCCTACCTCCCGTTCTCTACCCACGTGCCGGTACTGCCTTACTGAGGTCCTACTGAAAGGTCCTCCTGATTTGGTTGCTTGTCAGTCCTTATGTATCTTGAGCTCTCTGGGAGTTCTCTTCACTGATCACTTAGCACTGGCAGTGGATGTTTCTTAAGACAGGGAAGAAAACAGTATGACCCCACAATTTACATGTGGGAATAAATTAGAAGAAGAAAACAGCCAGATCAGAAAATAAGCTGAGATAATCTTTAACTGGAACCCTGGTTTGGTGTAATGATTAAGCGCTCGGCTGCTAACCCGAAAGTTGGCAGTTCGAACCCACCCAGCAGCTCTGGGGGAGAAAGACCTGGCAATCTGCTTCTGCAAAGATTATAGCCTAGTAAACCGTATGGGGCAGTTCTACTCTGTTGCATGGGGTCGCTATGAGTCAGAATCGACTGGAAGGCATCTAACAACAGCAATAACAATCTTTAAACCTTAAACCAAAAATATCCGTTGAAGTCTTTACACTAAACAGTAGTTTAGCTTCATTAGTAAAGAATGTCTGCCTTGAGCATTGTGCTCTTTTAAGAACTATCTATATGGGATCAAACTGCCAACAGCAACTCAAGAGATTATATAGGAAACTTAGGGGGCAGTGAGTTTATGTTGAAGAGAGAGGAACAACTCAGAAAAGGAGGGTGAGGATGGCTGCACAACGTGAAGAATGTATTCAGAGTCACTGAATTGTACATGTAGAAACTGTTGAATTAGTGTATGTTTTGTTACATATATTAACAACAACAAAAATAAATAAATTTTAAAAAAGATTACAACAGATGATATTTCTGAATTCACTTGTATCACTGTGCATATATTATCAATAAAGATAGTTTTTATTATGGGGTAAAAATTATGGGGGGAAAGACTCCCAGAGATCTCAAGCTTATTTATCAGTTGATTCTCCTTGAGCACATACTGTGCCAGGCCAGGATACAAGGCAGACCTTTGGAACTCTTAGTCGTAATAATTTACAGACAGCTTTGAAAGTGATTTTCAGGTGATGTAATTGTCAACATAGAAAGATGAAGTAGATCTGCAGATAAATTATTAGAATTAAGTTCAGTGAAGAAGCTGGAGCTTCTTTGTGTTTCCCTTATATCCTCTTGGCTATAAGATCAGTTTTAAAAAAATCAGTTGCATTCCTGTATACCAACAACAAACAATTAGAAAAGATAGTTAAAACAGAGACACCATTTATTTATAATAGAATAAAACATTTAAGGTTTTCATTGGCCAATTTTTTCAGAAGTAGACTGCCAGGTCCTTCTTCCTAGTCTGTCTTAGTCTGGAAGCTCCACTGAAACGTGTCCACCATGGGTGACCCTGCTGGTCTATGAAATACTGGTGACATAGTTTAGCATCACAGCAACACACAAGCCACCATAGTACGACAAACCAACAGATGCATGGGGTAAGGTATCTAACAGTAGATGGGACCATTGTGATCCATAGTGTTTTCAATGGCTAATTTTCAGAAGTAGATTGCCAGTGCTTAGATGTACTACTAGATACCTTAGTACATTTAAGTACCTTAGTACATCTAAGGTATCTAATAGTACATCTAAGCCCTGGCAGTCTACTTCTGAAAATCAGCCATTGAAAACACTATGGATCACAATGGTCTGATCCATAAACAATCATGGGGATGGTGCAGGACTGGGCAGCTTGTTGTTATGCTGCGCATGGGGTTGCCATTGAGTCGGAAGCTGACTCAGTGGCAACCAACAGCAACAGTAGTACATCTAACAGAAGTACGTCTCAGAATCAGTGTAATTAAGTGTAACAAACATGAGAGAAAGTGCCTTAGAATCAAATTGGGTATGTCAGATTGCAAGGCCTCTGGGTCTGTAGACCTGCCTGACTGCTTTGGTTTCCAGAGGTATGAAGTGTATGAGATTCATTGTAATCAGGGACTTTATTAAAAGTCAGTTTATTTTGTTTTCTAGCCAATTGTAAAGTCTGCTTTGTGGCCCTCATCCAGTCCTTCAGTCACTACAATATTGTGGGACAGAAGCTGGTACGTATGTTGGACCTCTTAAGGTGGGATCCCTGAGTGAGTGTACCCTGCATATGTGAGCATGGCCTAAGGCTGGGCTTTCCTGTTGGGTTGTAGAGAACTGAGCAAAGGAGGGACTAAGAAAATCTGGGTTCCTGGACCCTTTATCTGAAGGCCTAAAGCAGCTTCTCTGCGTGTTTTATTAATTTAGAATTTATAGAACCAGATGTGTGGTTTGTGGGTGATAATTAATCAAACCCTTCTCTACTGGTTCTAGACCAGTTAAGGAGCAAACCTAGGAGCTGAGGGAATTGAAATTAGAGTGAATTTTAGACTTGGTCCTTCTGGGTTGGAGATCATGGTTTGATCTGCCACCAAATTGGGTGCCTCTCATCAGCTGTCTCCAAGTTTAAGGCTCGAGACCTAAATGTGGGGAGAGATGCTTTCGTCACCTAGTAGCAGGGCACTCTTGGCCTGCTCCTCACCTCATCAAATGCAGGCAGGCGAGAATAAGATGGCCAAGAGACTGCTAAGTCTCCTTACCTAGCCTGGGCCATTACCTGTGACCTGTGACCAGGCCGACTTACTACCTGAGAATGGGAGCTGAAGGGAGATGGCCTTTTTTTATGGACAGGCCAGCTTCAAAGAGGGAGCAAACCAGGCAATTCATCAGCAGTGATTTTAAAATCTTAATCTTATTGCTGGGCCAAGTCATTGCTTCTTCTCTGATGGCAAGAAACAAATAAGGGATGAGAGAAGGATAGACTCTTTCTTTCCCATCCTGCGCAGAGAAGTTCCTGTGTTATGGGCCAGGGCATGAGCTGAGGGAGAGTGGTCATGCCAGGAGGAGATGTTACATTCCAGGTTTGTGAAGTGTGTCTCCATGGCCCTAGTGTCTGTGTGTTTGTGGGAGAGAAAGCTGTGTGCTTTCTCTGGGCCATTTTTTTTAAAAAATTACCTGTGAATCGTCATCACCACGGCAGGAATGACACGTGCAGGACTTGGCATGTGAAGTCCTGGAGTGTGAGCTTCTGTACTCTTGGAATATTACAGCGCTTGCAGAAGTAGAATGGTAACAAGCAAGAGCAGGAGTCTTTCTTTCTGCCAGGGGCAGAACGAGTGGTATTGGATAGTAGAGGACACTGGATGTGTGAATAAGCAAGTGAGATCTGGTTCAGGGATATAGGGAGTTTGAAGAGTTCCATGCCACGTGTTTCTGCACAGATAGAGCAGTGGGTTGCTAATTTGGAATGCATCACGATCCCTGATTGTTTGCTGAAGTGCAGATTTCTGGACACTGACCCCAAAAGCTTCTGGTTCTCTAGATCTGGAGTAGGATGCAGGGATTTGCATTTTAATCACGTCTCCCGGGATTCTTACTTGGGATGTTCATGAAGAACCATATTTGAGAAGTCCTGGTAGAGCAGGAGTCGGCAGACTCCTGCCTACATCCCCTGTTTTTGTAAATAAAGTTTTATTGGAGCACAGCCACACCCACTTGTTTCAAATTGTCAATGGTTACTTTCTCGCTACAATGGCAGAGTTGAGTAGTTGCAACAGAGATTGCATAGCCTGCAAACCCTAAAATATTTACTGTCTGGCCTCTTATGGAAAAAGTTTGCCAACCCCTGAGCTCACGTTGCCCTAACTCTGGGAGCACTTCTTCCGTTCAAGGGAAAGCAAAGGAGACCTTAGGCCATGATGCTTTCTTAATGTATGCCAGGCAGTCTGACAAGTGCGTTCTATGAGTTATATTATTTAAAACCTCAAGACAACCCTGAGGTCCTGTGTCACTGATGGGAAATCAAGTACAGAGGGTTTGTGAAATTCAAAGCCAAAAGTCTGGCCCTTTCTCCTGTACCAGCATTTTCCAGACTTTGGTTGTTGTCCCACTATCTTGTTATTATTTACTTAATATTTGTTTTTAAACGTGCTTAATTTTGAAAATACATGTATTTAAAAAGGAAACTTTGTATCACTATTATAAGTTAAAAACCACTATTGGGTAATCATAAAAATAAATACATAACAAAAGAATGTAAGTTTTTTTCCAGTGTGACAATTACCTGTAAATACACATGTGAAAATGGCACAGGGGCCGTGGGTTGGGAGCACCCAGGGGAAGGAAGCCATGGGCCCCGTACTTAGAGTGGATGGTGCTCATTTGAAGGGTTTGGATGTGTCCTGTGCCCTCTTGTGAGCTAGAGTCTAGCCTCTCTGATAGGCTCCCCCTACAGGGCTCGGTAATTCATTCTCCTCTCTCCCATGTTTAGGGTGTCAGCCTGACCACTGCTCGGGAGCGTGGGCAGCTTGTGCTCCTTGAGGGTCTCAAGTCCTCCGTGGATGTCTTCTTCCGGGCCCAGGAAGAGCCACACCCCCTGCAGTTTCTCAGGTCTGTCAGCCTGTAGCCCAGCCCAGAGGTGCACGCCTGGTGGGTGGGAGCAGATGAGGGATGCTATGTGATTCCTCTCCTTATGGCGTGGGAGGGCAGAGCTAACTTCTGAGGTCAGATACTGCTGATGTTGCAGCAGTATTAGTCAGAAAGCCCTTGACTCTTATCACGGGGCAGAGGGTGTACCACTGTCCAAAAAGCTATGTCGTTGTTGTTATGTGCCCTTGAGTCCATCCCAACTCATAGCGACCTCATGTGACCAAGCAGAACTGCCACATGGGACTTCCTAGGCTGTAATCTGTATGAGAGCAGATGGCCAGGTCTTTTCTCCTGCAGAGCGGCTGGGTGGGTTTGAACTGCCAACCTTTCGGTTAGCAACTGAGCGCTTAACCATTGTGTCATCAGAGCTCCTCTGAAAAGCTATGGAAAGTGTTATCTGCTGGGAGAAGGGCAGAACAGTATACTTTGCTGTTTTCTTCCAACTCTGGCTGCAGAGCCCTAGCACACACATTTGCTGTATTCTTGGTTTGATACGGAGATTAGCAAACTATGACTCATGGGCCAGCTGCCTATTTTTGTAAATAAAGTTTTATTGAAACAGCCACACTTTTTTACCTATCGTCTCTGGCTGCTTTTGTGCTACAACAGCAGAGTTGAGTCATTGAGACGGCGACCATATGGCAGTAGGGCAGCTGTCCTGGGCCTTGTGCTTTTTGAGCCTCCACCCATTGCTGGGAAACAATTTCTGGGGGTAGTTGTTGGAGGAGATGGAGGTAGGTAGGCCAGCTTGTGTCAGAAACAGATTGAATACGTTACATGTATAAGCAGCTATAGACCACTGCGTGTGCATTGCTATTTAACTTTTTATACCCAAGAATGACCTCCTGGGGAGGATTCTCCTGCCCGCCCAATCCAAATTCATCTTCTAGGTACCCTTAGCTCTTAGGTTGGGAGGCTGTATGGTTCCCCTTAAGGGTCCCAGGGACTGTTAAGTTTTATATCCCCCATTTCTAGCTCAGTGATTATACCTAGTAGGCCTCAGTAAATATCTGATTTGGAGTAAAGCTTATTCATGCATGCATGCACGCCTTTTCTTTCCAACCAGATTGTGAACTCCTTGGTGCCGATGGCTGTGATGCAGCTCTCTGTCCCCCCATCCTCTCCCCTGCCATTTCCTCTGGTGCTACTTGGTCCCAGGTAAACATTCGTAGAGACAGTAAACTCTCTGGTGACTTTTGCCCTGTGTCTCCAGGGAGGCCAATGCTGAGACTCTGCAGCCATTGTATGAGTTTGTGCAGGAGGCCCTGAAGCCCGTGGACAGCGAAGAGGCTGTGTGGAGATACCCAGTGCTGCTGGTGGACGACCTCAGTGTGCTCCTGAGCTTGGGTGTGGGAGCGGTGGCCGTGCTGGACTTTGTCCACTACTGCAGAGCCACTGTGTGCTGGAAGCTAAAGGTACCATCGGGTCTGCTCCCCATGCTCCTGCCTGGGGCCTCTCAGAGCCCAGACTGGTCCAGACCTCACTTGCTTGCAGTGATCTTTTTAATTCATTTGTTTGGGGTTTTTGCTTTATGCTGACAGGCCTAGGACTTTTTTCTTCTCCTCTCAGAATTAAAGCCCTCAAAATTAAACGGATGACCAGCACTGGTCATATGTGGTGCTGCTGCCACCCCAGCTCTGCCACATTTGCCTGTGTGACGCGGGGCAAGTTATTACTGACTCAGTATATTGTGGGGATCAACTGACATAATGGGTGTAGACGTCTTTAAAAATTGTAAAGTGCAATACAAGGATAGGATACGACCTTTATTACCAAATTATGAGGCAAAAATATAGATTTTTCCATAATAGAGATATTAACAGTATTAGCAGACCAACCAATAAACTAGGAATGGGGGTGGTGCCTGCCTCACAGGAGCCTGACTGCAGGAATTACATGAGGTAAAGCTTGTAATGCCAGCACAGAGCCTGGCCCCCAGCAACTACTCTTCAGTATGTGATGGTGCAGCTGGTAGGAACCTGCAGACATGGTGTGGTGTGGTCAGGCCAGCAGCACAGAGCAGTGGGAGAGGCGTGCTCAGTGAGCCAGCCAGGAGTGGGTGTATCTAGGAATGCACATTGGGTACCTCCTTGGTGCAAAGCCCTGCCTGGAAGCTGTGTTTAGGGGGCTTTCTGAGGCTGCCCTGGCTTACACTTGCAGGTTAGGACCAGGGTAATGTCGGAAGAATGGAAGGAGGAGGAAATGCGAGGGGCTTGGAGGGCACAGTTGGTGACGGGGCATGGAGTGAGAGTGAAGTAGTCAAAGTCACCTCTGTGGCCTACTACCACCCTCTTTTTATAAAATCATTACTTTTAGTTAAAAAAGTAAAATTTGGGGTTAGTTAAAAAAAAAAAAACAATATGAAGTGTACTTTAATTCTGTAGCTGAATCCTCATCAAAAGGGGGAAAATGTAGAACAGAATTTTAAATTTTATTGGACTCCAGACTTTCTGGAGCTATGGGGGCTGGATGAACCCCTGAAACTCTTGCCCTGAAATAATCTTTAAAACTTAAAATAAAAAAATATTCCCTGGAGTCTTCTTAAAACCAAACAATAGCCTAACTAGTAAAAAATGTCTGCCTTCAGCACTGTGCTCTTTTAACAACTACCTATATGGGATCAAAGTGACAACAGCAACTTGAAAGATTAGATAGGAATCTTAGAGGGCAGTGAGTTTATGTTAACAGGGGAGGAACAACTCAGAAAAGGAGGGTGAGAATGGCTGCACAATTCAAAGAATGTGATCAGTGTCACTGAATTGTACATGTAGAAATGGTTGAATTGGCATGTGTTTTGCTGTGTATATTCTCAACAACAACAACAAAATAAATTTTTTTAAAAAGGTACTTTAGCAAAAAGTAAACGTCTCCCTCCTGCAGGGTTATTGTTCAGAGAGTCTGCAATTGTGAACATATTTGTATGTATTTAGTATATTCATCTCCCTGTGTTTAGTGCTTCTGTTTTTCATCTAACAATATGCAGTATGTTTTGGCATCCACTGCCTGAAAACAGAACATGTGGATCTGCTTCATTCTTTTTAACACCTGAACAATATTCCTTTGAAAGGACTTGTCATTATTTAAGTTGTCCCCTTTTAGCAGGTTTGAGCTATCCCCCTGTTTCTGCTTGGCTAACTCCTACCTGCCCTTCAAAACTCAGCTTAGATGCCCCCACCTCCTGAGCCCCTTCTCCATTAGGACAAGATACTTCTTTGTGCTGTCCCAGCATCCATGCTTCCTTCCCTCCTGACATTGTCGTACTGTATTATAAGTACCTGTCTGTCTCTAGGGCCCAATGTCTCACCTCTTATCCCCACTGCAGCGTCTGGCACACAGTAAGTGCTTAGAAACTGTTGACTGGATGAATTAGTGCCCAGCAGAATGGTGGCACTTTTAATAATATTAAGGAATTCAGGAGAGAGAGTGCTTAACGTTGAAGACCACAGGGTGAAGCCTACAGGTTTTAGATGAATTGAGCTGGAAGCGCAGGTTGGATATGCTGAGTAAGCTGTGCAGTGGATGACTGGAATTAGGGCTCTGGAGCCTAGGCGGGGTCCTCCCACAAAGGGGATGACTGCAGCAGCGGGGAGGGTGACCTTTGAGAGGACGTGCAGGGGAATGGGAGAGACTGAGAGCCCAGTGCTCCCTGGTCTTGGGTGTCCCTTCAGGCAGGAGCAGGTTTCCATCTTGTATCTCTCATGCAGGGAAGCATGGTAGCCCTTGTGCATGACACTGGAGATGCTGAGGATGAGGAGAATGACATCCTGCTGAATGGCCTCAGTCACCAGAGCCACCTGATCCTGCGGGCTGAGGGCCTAGTCACTGGCTTCTGCCGGGACGTGCACGGGCAGGTGGGTGTGCAGGGGCTGGGACCAGGGGCTTGCTGGGCAACAGGCCGCTTGACTCAGCACCCAGGAGTCTGCACGTGGGAGAGTGTCAGGGCCAAGGGGCTACCTGGTTGAGGCGTTCTTTCAGGTGGAGGGGAAACGTCGAAAGTTGTGTGAACGGAAATCAGAGACCTACCCCAGATGGTGCTCAGCCACATGGACAAGTGCAGGTTTCCTGTGGTGTCCCCACTGGCGACCCAAGTGGAGATTTCCTAAAGAGGAGACAGCTTCCAGAGTGGGGCCATGCTGTCAGATAACGGCCGACTTCTCTGTGGTGCTGCAGCAAGCTCTGTATAGTTGGGTAAACAGTGTTCCTTTTAAAGTAGAGACTTGAGGAGCCTGTACCTGTGGACTAGGTTGCTGCCACCCCACTGCTGCCTCTACCCAGAACGTTCATAGTGCTCAGGCAGAAGCCAGGAGTCCTGCCCTGAGAGGGAGTGAGAACCTGCCCCTCTGACGGGCTGCTGTGGTTCTGTCCCTTCTGATAGTTCTCTTTTGGAGTCACCGGAAAGCCTCCCTTGCAACTTCCAGGTTAAGTTCATGTTGGCTACTTTTTACCCAGTAAGTGTGGGTGGGAGTTTTGGCCCAGACTCATTCTGAAGCAAGTCTGGTAGAGGAAGCAAATGAGCAAGCCCAGAAATGCTGTCGGCAGTGCCTGTGGGCGTGGTGGGAGGAGATGGTTCTGCTGGGCCTCCTTGTGGCCTGTCTCTGAAGCCAGTCCCCAAGGCATTTTAGTCAGTGAGAGCATCATCAAAATAAATATCTAGGCTTCCTCAGCAAAACTGCATAGATGAAAGACCAAAGGGAAATACAGAAAAATGCTTTAAAGGGTTTTTCTCTGGGTGATGGTTTTTTCTTCCTTTTACTTTTCTTTCTCTTTCATATTTCCTGTAATGAGCAAATATCACTACTGTAATGGAGGGGGAACTCTATTTTTAGTTAGCTGGTAGTAAGCTTTGTTTCAGAAGCCAGTCCCATTACTTCATGGCACATCTGAGCGTCGTTCTCATTGAAGCCTCAGTTGAAGGTCACGGAGGATGCAGGGGAGGGTTGCTAGTGGAACATGTACTTGGGGCGGCTGCTCCTCTTTCATTCTTCCTCCTTTCTTATAGCTGACGATCCTGTGGAGGAGACCGTTGCAGCCCACAGCCCAGCGGGAGCAGAGCCTAACTTACCAGTACAAGATACAGGACAAGAACGTGTCCTTTTTTGCCAGAGGAATGTCCCCTGCTGTTCTGTGACCTGATTTAGGGGCAGTGAGAGCTACCTTGGACTCTTTTTTTTTTAATGAAAGATAAAGCAACCTAGCAGGAATGGATATTTATGCCTTTGTGGTGTATTTCAGACAGACTAGCAGCTCCACTGGGACCCACCGATGGTCGAATGGTGCACCTTTGCTTCCCTGGACTCTGTTCAGAAAACACAACGAGTAACCCATGACCCCCCTTCTGCAGAGAGAAAGAGGCTGGGTGCTGAGCCCCAGTGAAAGTCCTTTGGAGCCTTCCATGTAAATATGCCCCAACTGCCTGTTTTTGCCAGAGTGATTATGAATATGCCAGCCAGGAGGCAGTCCAGATAATCATGACTGGTGTACGGTGAGCTCCCGCATCGTGGCTTCACATGGGTTGTCTCACTTAATTTTCACCTTCATCCTGCATGGGTGTTTTCCCTTAGAGTCCAGTGAGGAAACAGAGAGGTTAGGAAGTATGTTCAAGGCGGTAGAGCAGCTTGTTGGTCATGGGGCCTGGCTCCAAAGTCCATACTTGCTGACTGCCAGTCGTGGAAACCCGAGACAGGCTCCCCACCTAATTCACAGCTTTGGGTCTTCCTGTTTCTCCTGGCCTTGCCCGTGCACTGGTGAGTCCTAGCACCAAGGCCTTGGTCACATAAGGCCCCACGTCAGGTGCAGGTGTGTATAGCCTTGGTGAGGGGTCAGGAATGTTCTTGCTGCCAGGTAGCATGGGGCCTGGTGAGGAGTCAGTGCCTCCTTCTCCTGTGGAGACCACAGGCGGTGAGCTTCTGCCCCAGCATCCAGCAGACAGCCACTGTCCCACTCAGCCGCTCAGTCAAGGTTGCCTGAGTGTGTACCAGGGGTATTCTCAAAACAGGTGTATTTTAGTGTATGTAAATTATACCACAATGAATCTGACTTAAAAAATAAATGAAGAAGTAACACTGCTTTGCAGTATACTAAGGAATTTTCCTGTCGTTTAACTTTTGTATACGTTTTTAGTCTTTGTAAAAGGAATTATTGATCACCCTCGCCCCCAAACTATTGTGTTGGTCATCCCATGGAAACAATAGCTGCTTTTTTCTCAAAAGTGGCAGACCTGAGTATTATGAGCAAATAGAATATTTGAAAACTATGAGCATAAGCAATTTAAGAGAAATTAATAATTAGTGATTTTTTAAATTACTATTTCAGTATTTAGAAGAGCTTCATATGTTCTTCAGTTCTGAATGGACAAAACACAAAAAATTTTTTAACTGAATGGTGTGATTATGTTTTTTTTACTTCATTTATAAATATTTTCACTGAATTTTTCATGCTTAATGGCTACATAGTATTTTATGGTGTCAATATACTCTAATTTTCTTAGCTGTTCTCGGGCATGTAGGTTCCTGTTTTCACAATTATAAGTTATGCTGTTATATATTTAATATACTATACCTGTTCGGGGCTAGGGACAAGTACTTGTTTCCGTACAACATTCACTCAGTGTTCATTCATTCAGCAAGTGCTGAGTGCCCTCTACATGGCAGGCTGTTTCTGGCACTGAGCATGGCAGTGACAAAAGGATCGGCCCTTGTGGAGCTGATGTTCTAGTGGGGGAGACAGACAATTGGCAAAATTGAGAAGTAAAATGTGTAGAGCATCAGACCGTGGTAAGTGCTATGAATAAAGCAGGGAAGGGGCCCATGAAAAGTGAGGGGTGAGGATATTTTAGAGTCCACTCTCTGAACTGGAATTTTTCAGTTAACACATGGACTGGCCCTCACACATTATCAGGTTGTTCTTCAGAATGATGGAGCCAGTTAACACTGATTTATAGGTTTTCCTCCACCAACTTCGGGTTTAGTTTATTTTTAATTCGTTTAATAGTTATGCAAAGTTGTGTGAAAATGAACATTTTTTTTAAATGACTAGGATGTTATTTCCTGTTTATATTTCCCCGTATGAACAGAATCTGTTCCTCACCCTTGATCACTACCTACCAGTTGAAATCTGCAAAGTAAAATTTATAGGTGTCTTTGTTCATATTTTGTGGCATTTTGATTTTTTAAATATATTTTATCTTCAGAAACACTTGTTTTATATTGATATTCATTAGTTCAGGAAATATTTGTGGAACATCTGTTTTATGTAAGGAGTTGTAAAGATAAATCAAAAAACAATCCTAAAGGCACTTGCTGCAGCCCTGATGGGGATAGAAAACAGGAATGTAAATAGCGTGGTGCCGCAGAGAAGGTGACGAGGGCCATAAAAACGATTCTGGGAAGTCGAGGCTGATGTTCACAGGAAAGAACAATTACTTCCCGCTCACTTTGCTTTCTCTTTTTTTCGAGTTGGGGAGCAGAGAACTGGGGAAGAGTTTATGGAGGCAATGCTATTTGAACAAGACCTTGGAATGATCCTATTTTGTCTCTGATGATATCTTAGTTCTTCAGGACTCAAATGTGTTTTTCTTCCTTCCTGGAACAAAGTTGCTATTCTTTGTTATTTTTCTAGTTTAAAATAATTTTTTAAATGTGCTTAACATTTTGACCCGTTTAGAATTTATTACAGTATTGTAGTGAAATTTATCTCTGTGCTGGCAACTAGATAGCAAAAAATCAAACTGGTTGCTGTCGAGTCGATTCCTACTCATAGCGACCCTATAGGACAGAGTAGAACTGCCCCATAGGGTTTCCAAGGAGTGGCTGGTGGATTTGAACTGCTGACCTTTCGGTTAGCAACTGAACTCTTAACCACTGCACCACCAGTCTCCGACAACTAGATAGCCCAGCATTTTTTGTAAAATAATGTTCCTTTCTCATTCATTTCTTTTTGATGTTTATACATAAAGTTTCTAAAATCAAACCTTTCTGAAATCATTGTATTTGCCTTGTAGTAGGTATTTAAAATGTCTGTTATCAGGAGTCTTTATTAAAAGGATATTGTGCAGAGGAACCCCAGAAGACGTGGCTCCCGGACTCTCTGTTAACCCGGAACTGAAACCATTCCCGAAGCCAACTCTTCAGATAAAGATTAGACAGGACTATAAGACATAAAATGATACTCGTTAAGAGTGTGCTTTTCTTAATTCAAGTAGATCACGAGACTAAATGGGCAGCTCCTGTCCAGAGGTGAGATGAGAAGGCAGAAAGGGATAGGAGCTGGTTGAATGGACACAGGAAATCTGGGGTGGAAAGGGGGAGTGTACTGTCACATTATAGGGATAGCAGCTAGGGTCACATAACAATGTGTGTATAACTCTTGTGTGAAAAACTAACTTGAGCTGTAAACTTTCACTTAAAGCACAATTTAAAGAAAAAGGATATTGTGCCCATTCAGCCAGATGGATTTTACCAGCACTTCGTTAAGCTCTGTAAAGTTTTCTTCAGGGACTTTTTCTCTCATTTTTAAAATTGTATGATTTTATTATAAAAAAATAATGTTAAATTAATACTCCTAATATTTATTAAATGTTTTTTTGTTATGGGAAAAGGAATTACCTGTTTTTGTTGATTTTTCTAATGATGTCTTTGACATAGGAATGCAGTTGACTTTTTAAAATTTATACCTTCCACTATTACTTTTTTCCAAACTATTTTTAAACTATTACTGTTTTTTTTTTTGAACTATTACTTCTTATAATTTTCTGATGGGAATTCTTGAATTTTTTAGATAGCGCTAATATCTGCAATAATGACACCAACCTTGATTATTTTTCCCTTGAATAACTTTCATCAACATTTTAAAATTTATTAAATTGGAGTGGTATGAAGGTATTTGTTGTCTAATTTCTGTCGTTAAGGGAATAGAAAGCATTTTATATAGTAATTTTTTTGAATATTTTATTGTTTTATGTGAAAGTTTACACAGCAAATTAGATTCCCATTCAACAATTCATATACAAATTGTTCTGTGACATTGGTTACAATCCTAGTAATTTGTCAACACTCTCACTGTTTCTACTCGGCCTACCATCTATCCAGTTTTCCTGCCCCTCCTTGCCTTCTCATCTTTGCTTTTGTGAAAATGTTGACCATTTAGTCTCATATAGTTGATTGTTTAAAGGGGCACATTCCTCATGGGTGTTACTGTTTATTTTATAGGCCAATCTATTATTTGGCTGAAAGCTGACCTCCCAGAGTGGCTTCAGTTCCAGGTTAAAAGGGTGTCTTAGGGCAATAGTCTGAGGGACTCCTCTAGTCTCTATCAGTCCAGTAGGTCTGGTCTTTTTTATGAATTTGAGTTTTGTTCTATGTTTTTCTCCCATTCCAACTGGGACCTTCTATTGTGTCCCCTGGTCAGAGTGGTTGGTAGTGGTAGCTGGACACCATCTAGTTCTGGTCTCAGGCTAGAAGAGGCTGTGGTTCGAGTGTGCCGTTAGTCCTGTTGACTAACTTCTTCCTTGAGGCTTTGGTTTCCTTCACTCTGCTTTGCTCCAGATGGGAAGAGACCAATAGTTGTATCTTAAATGGCCACTCTCAAGCTTTTAAGACCCCAGATGCTACTCACCAAACTAGCATGTAGAACATTATCTTTATGAACTACATTATGCCAGTTGGTCTAGTTGTCCCATGAGACTATGGACCTGAAACTTCAAACGCAGTAATTCAATCCCATGAGGCATTTGAGTATGTCTAGGAAGTATCTTATAACTGCGCCCCATGTGCTTTATTGTATGTATGAATATATATGCAGCACATACAAACATGTATATACATGTGCCCACAAATATACCTACACATGCATGCACATGTACCCCCATATGCCTTTCCACACCCATATAGCATACGTATCTACCTATGTAACCACTCACATATTTTTGGCTTGTTAATGCCGTTGAAGATCAGCTGTCCATAGATGGATGGATTTACTTCGGAGTTCTCAATTCTGTTGTATTGGTCTATGTGTCTGCTGTTGTACCAGTTACCAGGCTGTTGTGATTACTGTGGCTGTATAGTACTGAAATCTGGAAGTGTGAGGCCTCCTACTTTGTTCTTCAATATTGCTTTAGCTATTTGGGGCTTCTTTCTTTTCCATATAAAGTTGGAGATTAGTTTCTGCATTTTGTTGAAGAATGTTGTTGGGATTTGGATTGGGATTGCATTATATTTATAGATCACTTTGGGTAGTATTGACATTTTTACAATGTTAAGTCTTCCATTCATGAGCATGGAATGTTTTTTCCATTGTGTAAGTCTTTTATGTCCCTGGTTAGATTTATTCTTAGGTATTTTATCCTTTTGGGGGCTATTGTAAATGGTATTGTTTTCTTGATTTCCTTTGATGGAGTTCTCCTTATTAGTCTAGAGAACCCAACCAATTTTTGTATGTTGATCTTGTATCCTACCACTTTGCTGAACCTTCTTTTAGTTCCAATAACTTTCTTGTGGAGTCTCTGGGATTTTCTATGTATAGGATAATGTCATGTGTGAATAGGGATAGTTTTACTTCTTCCTTACCAATTTGGATACCCTTTATTTTCCTTTCTTGCCTTATTGCTCTGGCTAGAACTTCCAGTACAACATTGAATAAGAGTGGTGATAATGGGCATCCTTGTCTTGTTCCCGTTCTCAAGGGTAATGCTTTCAGTCTTTCTTTGTTGAGAATAATGTTGGCATTTGCATATATGCACTTAATTATGTTGAGGAATTTCCCTTCTATTCCTGTTTTGCTCAGAAGTTTTATCCGGAAGCTTTGTTGGACTTTATCAAATGCCTTTTCTGCATCGATTAAGATGATCATGTGATTCTCCTCCTTTGTTTTATTTATGTGGTGGATTACATTGATTGATTTTCTAATGTTTAACCACTGTGCATCCCTGGTGTGCATCCCACCTGATCATGTTGTATTATTTTTTTGATATGCTGTTGTATTCAGTTGGCTAGAATTTTGTTTAGAATTTTGCTTTTGCATTCATCAGGGATATTGGTCTGTAATTTTCTTTTTTTGTGGTGTCTTTGCCTGGCTTTGGTATCAGGGTTATACTGGCGTCATGAAATGAATTAGGGAGTCCCTTCTTTTTCTGGGTACTGGAATAGTTTAAGTAGAATTGGTGTCAACTCTTCTCTGAATGTTTGGTAGAACTTTCCAGTGAAGCCATCTGGGCCAGAGCTTTTTTTGGGGAAGAGTTTTTTTTTAATGACATCTTTAATTTCTTCTTTTGTTGTAGGTTTGTTTATATTTTCTACCTCTGTTTGTGTTAGTTTAGATAGGTAGGGTGTTTCTAGAAATTTGTCTACTTCTAGGTTTTCAAATTTGTTGGAGTATAATTTTTCATAATAGTCTATTGTTATTCTCTTTATTCTGTTGTAATGTTGCCCATTTCAGTTTTTATTTTGGTTATTTGCTTCTTCTCATTTTTTTCCTTTGTCATCTTGGCCAGTGGTTTGTCAATTTTATTGATCCTCTCAAAGAACCAAGTTCTAGTTTTGATGATTCATTCTATTGTTTTTCTATTTTATTTATTTCTGCTCTGATCTTTATTATTTCTTTTCTTCTGGTGACTGTGGACTTCTTTGGCTGTTTGTTTTCCATTTGTTCAAGTTGTCAGGTTAAGCTATTGATTTTAGACCTTTCTTCTTTTTTGATGTATGCATTTATTGCTAGAAATTGTCCTCTGAGCACTGCTTTTACTGTGTCCCAGAGGTTTTGGTATGTTGTGTCTTCATTCTCATTTGATTCTAAGGATTTTTTAATTTCATTTTTAATTCCTTCTATGATCTAGTAGTTTTTAAGTAATGTGTTATTCAGTTTCCTTGTATTTAATTTTTTTCCTTACTCTTTCTGTTATTGATTTCTAACTTTATAGCATTATGGTCAAATAAGATCTTTTGTATTATATCGATGTTTTTGAATTTATTCAATCTTGCTTTGTGGCCTAGAATATGGTCTATTCTGGAGAATGATCCATGTGTGTTGGAGAAGAATGTGTACTGTGCTGCTGTTGGGTGGTTTGTTCTGTATGTCTGTGAGATTGAGTTGGTTTGTTGTGTTATTTAGATCTTCTGTATCTTTATTGAGTTTCTTTCTAGTTGTTCTGTCCATCATCGAAAGTGGTATGTTAAAGTCTTCTATTATTGTAAAACTGTCTTGTTTCTCTTTTCAATTCTGTTAAGCGTTTGCTTATGTATTTTAGAGCTCTGTCATTGGGTTCATAAATATTTATTATTCTTATTCTTCTTGGTGAATTGACCCTCTAATCATTATACAGTATCCTTCTTTGTCTCATAATGGATTTTGGCTTAAAATTTGTTTTTTTGTTTTTTTTTTAAATTGTGCTTTAGATGAAGGTTTACAGAATAAACTAGCCTCTCATTAAATAGTCAGCACACGTATTGTTTCATGACACTGGTTAACAACCCCACAACATGTTAGCACTCTCCCTTCTTGACCCTGGGTTCCCTATTACCAGCTTTCCTGTCCCCTCCTGTCCTCCAGTCCCTGCCCCTGGGCTGGTGTGCCCCCTTAGTCTCATTTTGTTTTATGGGCCTGTCTAATCCCTGGCCTAAGGGTGATACTCAGGAGTGACTTCATTACTGAGCCAGAAGGGTGTCTGGGGGCCATACTCTCTGGGTTTCTCCAGTCTCTGTCAGGTCAGTAAGTCTGGTCTTTTTTGTGAGTTAGAATTTTGTTCTACATTTTTCTTCAGCTCTGTTGAGGACCCTCTATTGTAATCCCTGTCAGAGCAATCAGTAGTGGTAGCTGGGCACCATCTAGTTGTACTGGACTTAGTCTGGTGGAGGCCGTGGTAGTCGTGGTCCATTAGTCCCCTGGACCAGTCTTTCCCTTGTGGACTTAAAATCTATTTTATCCAAAATTATTATTGCTACTCCTGCTCTCTTATGGTTACTGTTTGCTTGATATATTTTTTCCATCCTTTGATTTTTAACTTATTTATGTCTTTGTGTCTAAGGTGTGTCTCTTGTAGAGGCAACATATTAATGGGTCATGTTTTTTTTAATCTATTCTGCCATTCTCTCACTGTTGCCTGGTGCATTTAATCCATTTACATTCAGCGTGATTAACAATAGGTATGAATTCATTGCTCTCATTTTGCTGTACTTTTTTTTAAAAATGGTTTCTTTGTTCCTCTTAATTTTCTGTGCTGAGTTCTTTTTGTGAATGGATTTTCTCTTCCTATCATTTGTTGTTGTTTTTACTGAGTCTCTTTGATTTTTTCTTTTT